AGGAAACAAAATATGAGGAGTAGCTGTCTTCTGGGTGTTGAAATGACTGGGAATTTTTCTTTTCTGTGTATTCATTTAAGAGTTCTCAGAAATACCCCTGAGGGTCATGTGACTAGGAACATAATACAATTATGTATTATGAACTCTGCCTACTTCCGGTTCTCAAATTGGCACAAGCCGAGCACAAGGCCAGGTCACAATAACCAAAAGAGAAAGGTTATTAAAGTGAACAGCAGGCAAAGTAAAAGAAGAGCTGAGGTCCCAACACTCTAGAAAATTTATTACCCAGGTATTTCAGATGGGCCAAGACAGGTACCAACTAACCAGAAAGTCCAAGGAAGCCTCAGGACCCCAGTTCAGTATCACTAATGTTGAAGCCCCAGTGGAAACGGCTACAAATGGGTACCAAGCCACAGTGAGCATCTGTGTAGTTCCCATGAAGGATTCTGGGAACTCCAGATCAGCTGTCACAGATGTCTGAGCTAACCATTCAATTTCTAGTTTCTGAACACTGACTATTTGGGAAATCACTTATTGATTCTGCAGCAGAAGTTTACTACATTTCTCTTATCATAAAGATGAAATTATCATTCAAGAAAATATTAATATTTAAGAAAAATTCAACTTAAAAATTTTCAATTAATACCCCAAATAACTAGGAGATAAAACAAAAATGATTTAAGTGTTATTGAAAATAAATGTTCCTATCCTCAACTGAGAATAGATTTAAGATTTGCTTTACTAATATTAATTATGTGGTCTGGGGCACAGGGATTTGTATATGGGCATGTACTTGTGAGTGCTGGTGGTCACAGAGGCCAGAGGTGCCAGATTACCCCAGGAGCTGAAGTTAAAGGTAGCTGTGAAACACACAAAATGGGTGCTGGAACCGAACTTTGGTCCTCTGCAAAAGTAGTACATGATCTTAACCACTGAGCCACCCTTCAAGCTCCTAGAATATATGTATTTATAATATGCATAATATATAATATATAATTGTTATATATATTTAAAGTCTGAATAGTATGTATTAAAACTTAAGAAATGAGTCTTTGGCTAGGAATATAATAGCTCAGTGGTACAGCCTAACATGCAAAAAGCTATGAAATCAATCCATAGTATCACACGTAAAAATATTTTTTTGAAATGAGCCTAAAGCTGCATTCAAAGGACCATTCATAGTATTAAATATTTTCATTATAAAGGGAATGGAAAAAGCACATAATAACTCAAGCCAGCACTTCAAGAAATTGGGAAAAAAAGAACAACCTTTTTAACACAAAGAAAATAGAGCACAGAAATACATTCAAGTAGAAGTAAGTCTAAACGTTCATTGTATGAGCCCAAAAACCAAGGACAGATTTTGACAAAGTTTATGTGAAAAAGAAAGAATTCATTGTTATACTTCGAAAATTTTTAGTGTATCTTATTTTATGTCTTTAATATCTGGCCTTCTCCTCGTTGCTTTGACATATCCTGTGGGGACATGGAGAACCTGAGGAGTTCTTACTGAAAGGAGCAAGGAGAACGGAGAGTTATTCCCCTTTAGATGACAGATCTTGCTGCTGTTTCCAGAGAATTGTCCAGATCGCATCACTTCTTTTCACACTCAACCACCTCACCGGAAAGACACTTTCCCGGTCCCTTCCCTCTGCATCCCATAACTTCCCATTAAAACTGATGTTTTATCAAGGCTGAATTTCCATTGGGGCAAAAAAGTCAGGTATGGGTCCTGGCTTAATGAGAGAAGGTTGGGACAATACCAGCCTAAGTTCAAGGTAACAATGACAGAAGACAGTTGCCACCTCCTCCAAGTTTGGCGATGGCGCTAGTTAGCTGGAACTGAGTGACAGAAGCAATGGTTTTAGTGACAGGCTAGGACATGACTGAAAGAGAATCTTCAGCAGATCCCAAGAGGCAGCATCAGGATGCTCTCCGGCTGCTGACACTCCAGCGAGGGGACTGTCGAAAGAGAAAGAACGAGCCACAAGCTCTATAACTGTCTAAGGTTCTATAACTGTCACTGACTGCAAGATGGCCACCAGATAGAAAAGGGACTGGGTGGCTGACCATCAAACAGAAAAGGGACATTATTTTGGAGACAGAAGCGTTAAGGCATACCATGCTCCTGGACTCCAGCTTCCATGACCTGCCCCCTGTATCCAGATGTCATCTTTGAGTGACAGGAAGTGGTCTAAAGCAGTCTGGTACACTGTGAAGGGCTCTAGCGGGCCTGGGCATGGCAAACATGGCTCTTGCTAGCCTCACCCTTCTCCTATTCCCTCTGCCTTGCTAAAAACCATTACATTACATTCTTAAAGCTGGCCACAAGGGTCTGTGCCCTTATTTGGCCATTTCCTCCTACTGAGGCTGACCACTAAGGTCCAGCGATCAACATATTGAAGTCCAGCAATCAAAATCCCCCATTTTGTCTGCCCTAATTAACCAATCCAATCAAAATTAAATATCTCATCCTAACATGGGGTTTCCCCTTTCCACTTTATAAGCTGCCATTTTCTGTAGGCCACAAATATCTCCTCTGTATCCAGAGGCAATCAATCCTTTGTCCCTCGGGGACAAATACCCCTGCCCCCTCGCCCTTGTTCCCTTCCCCTTCTCCCTCTTCCTCTGTCTCCTGTCTTTTCTCTTACTCCCTGCCCTTTCTCTCTCTGGGATAAATAAATCTCCTTTGTGCTAAGAACTTGGTCTTGGGGTGTCTCATGCTGATACTGGTCGTTCTTTCACACTGAGTATGTATTTCAAGAGAGATGGATGCTATCAGAAAAAGATACTTACATGGCCACACACACACACACACACACACACACACACACACACACACACACACACACCACTTCACCCAGCACCTCTAAAAAACAAACAAACAAACAAACCACCCAGGATGGAGTTCGAGAATGGGCTTTTTGCTCCATGCGGCCTGGATTTGACTCTTGGCTGCACAAGTCTATGACATCAGGAAACTCATTTGTGTGTTTCAATTTCTTAATCTATAAAATGAAGATAACCATTTCTTTTAGCATTTTGAAGGCACAAATGAGTTAATAAATAGAAAAGGCTTAGATCAGTGGCTGCTGCACAAGAAGCATTCATGGCATCTTGGCTACTCTTATTACTGCTAACATCAGTAATAAGGAAAAACAGACTGGCCACCGAGAAATGAAGAAATGGCAATTTCTCTACATGGACAAGCAGCAGTGAATTAAAATCTGCTCCCCCCACTCCATGAATAATAAAAATCATGAATGAGAAAGATATAAAATAGATCAGAGGACAAGGAGGTTTTCTACAAACACAGCAGTCTGGTTTAAAGGAGAAGACTCTTAATAAAATGGACCACATTCAGTAAAAATATGAATTACCTATATTAGTTCAAGAAGTGTGCCAAGTAGAAGAGAAGGGTGCCAAAGAAATAAAAATTCATCAGTGGCCTCAGGAAAGACCTGGGACTAGACGGCTGAAGGAGTACATGCTTTTGAACTTCCCAAAGGGAAAACCCCAGGACAAACAATAGTTGGATGACATGCAGACAGAAGCCCCCCCCCCACTCAGTTCGTAGAGAAAGCTATGCATTTCATGTACATAAAGCGAAATCAAACTATATACCAGTGTTCTTCTCAAAAGTGTCTTTACTCCAGGATTTCCTACACCCCTAACAGACTATGGAATCCAAATGAGGTGTCTGTGGCAGCCTGCAATAGTTCCTTACTCTAGAGTTTCTTCTGGGTACTTCCAGATCTTTCTGAGCACCAGGCCCAGAGCCTTGTGGGAAGGAATGTCCAGCCATGCAATCAGAAGATTAAGGTGGAGCCCAGAGCCAGGAATACACAGAAGGACAGAGAGGAAAAGAGATAAAAAAGAAAGGGGGGACAAGTCCACAAAATTGCCATCGCAAGAGCCAAGCAGAGCAGGACGCAGCACGTTCCACTTGTGGAAGCAGAAATTGATTCAAACCTTCTAGGAAGCAATTGGAAAGAACCGTGATTTGGAACATTAAATGCACGTTCCCTTTGACCCAGTAATCTGACTTTCTATCAGTCCTCCTTAGGAAATGGGTCTGAAACAAAGATAAAGATTTACACACAAGGATGATGGATTCAATGGAATATCTCCTAGCTAACAAAACAAAATGAAAACAGGAAAACATTTCAGTAAGTAAAGACGAAATTATTTAAGTAGACTACAGAATATTAATATGGTGAATAATAACAAGCAACATTGGTGGGGGAGGCAGTAAAATCAGGTCCAGGTCTATAATCATTTAAGGAAAAAGGACGACACATGAACTACAAAGTACAATCTCACATGTATTTTTCACATGTAGGAAGTAGGAAATAGACATTACATGGACATAAAATAAACCAATCCCAACCTGAAACTATCTGGGTCTGGGACTCTGAGTAAATACTAATTTCTTTTATATATTTCCCCTATGTCCTTTCTGCATTAAGTCGTGCTATTTCTATAACCAGAAAAATAGATATCCAATAATTACTGTACATAAATACACATTCGTATAATAAGGAAAAAATTTAAGTCCTCATTCACCCAAGACAATCACATTCACAACACACAGAAAAATTGCATTTCTCCAAGCCTGAACCTCCACACAGATGCACTTCAAAGCACAGAAAACAGCACACCAACCAAGCCCCTCAGTGAAGACAGGCGGGAGGCTTCTCTGGGCTTTTCCACACACCATTATCTACAGAATTCAGCACCCATCTTTTAAAGTAAGGCTGTTTGTTAGTGTCTTGGTTGAAAGAATACTGACACGGAGAGATGGGTTTTAAAAGACTGACGTGCATAGAGTTTCTCTCCTACACACACACACACACACACACACACACACACACACACACACACACACACACACACACACACACACCTCAGTAGCGTGGCCCCAGGCAGACCACTCAAGCGAGTCCCAACGGTGCAGCCTTGCCCAGTCCTTGCCTACCCGCCCCTAAAGGCCCTGGTACCTGTTCCTGGTGAGCGGTACTGAGGTGACCGGGCTCCTGAGAGTCCTCATTGCTGCCGAGGTTCCAGGGGTGTCCTCCCTGCTGTCCTCCACCGACAACCTGAACAGCCAGCGAGAAAACTAAGTTATTACACCACCTTCCTGGGGAGCCACTGGCTGGCAGGCTGGGCATCGTACTCTAAACGTAACCAGGGCATCTTTGCGCACCCCGACTCCCAGGATGGGTCCCCAACCTTAGAGTTAGGGAGGAAAAAAAACCTTAGGACAAGAAAACCAGGAGCACAATGGGAAAATCCTAGAGCCTGGCGGGAAACCTCGACGGCAGGTTCCGCTCCACAGCTCCCTCGCCCACAGAGACGCTGTCTGGAGCCCTCTCAACCCGGACGGGTCCCTTTCCACTTCATACCATGACATCCAACCAAGTGTCGCCTTTCTGCGACCCCAAGCCCTACCCCACCCTCAAGGAGCCTTTTGGCCAAAAGTCTGCGAGCGAGCGGCCGGTCACACGAATTTGAGCCGGGGCTCCCCGGGAAGCAGCGCCAGGCGCGCCGCGTGGGTGCGCGGGACCTTGCAGGTGGGGCGAGCTGATGCCGGGGAATTACCTGGAGCGGGCGGGCGTGTCCGCAGGGCACCAGAGCAGACGCAGCAGGAGCAGCAGCATCAGGCTGGCTACCAGGGCGAGCAGCGTGCCCCCAGGTCTCATCCTGAGCCACGGGAGCCCTCGCCGCCAAAGCTGCCGGGGCGAAGCGCATCCCGGGCGGCATCGACTCGCCGCTCCGGCCGCCGCCGCCGCCGCCGCCGCCACCGCGGCCGCTGCCACGCACACCCCCAGCGTTCAAAGGCGGTGGCGCGGGCCCGCACTCTCGGGGACTGCCCCGAGCCCAGCCTGCAACAGTGCTGTCGAGCACTGAGCCGAGGAAGCAGCGTCCCGGCTCGCTCGCTTCTTCCAAGCCAGCCCCCGGCCGCCGAAGCTCGCGGTCGGCTAGCGGATGACGATCCTTCCGAGCTCTCCGCCTGTCCTCCCGGAGGCGCTCCGAGCCGCTGCGGGCTCTGGTCGCTGCAGCCGCTGCTGCTTCTGCCTCCTGCCGCCGCCGCCGCCACCACCACCACCGCCGCGCGGGGTCACCTGAAGGTTGGGGCAGGAGCTCTCAACTCTGCGCTGATTGGGCTCTAACTTTTCGGGCGCTCTCACCTTCGCCCGAGTGCGCGCGTGGCTCTTGGGAAGCTCCACGCGGCCCACCCAATCACACTGCGGCTCTGCTGCGTTGCTGGGGGCCCCCGAGCCTAGGACCTAGAGGGCTGAAGAGGAGAGTAGAAAGGACCCGCTTCAAAAGTTTGCAAAGGGAGTTGTTAGGCTGGATCCTCCCACGTACCTGGAAGCTACCAGGGACGTGGTGATGTTTGAGTAGACCTTGGCATAGTATGAAGGAAATTACCTTCCGTCGATGAAATGCAGATTCAGAGTGACAGCTGACACCAGTTACCAGGAAATCTTTAAGGGTGGCCAATCCTTCCACCTTTGGCCAGATCCACCTCTACCTGCTTTCTAAACACTGTTTTATTGGACATCTTCGCGTCCAGTACTTTGTATTGTCCATGGCCATGAAATTGTGTGACTGTATCATTATAAAGGCAGAACTAAGGAGTAATGACAGGGAGCCTATAGCTCAATATCTGAAATATTTACTGCCCTATTAATTTCCAGAAAAACGGGTTTGCCTACTGCCAATGGAGGCAATCTCTGCATTTTGAATTCTTGCCTAACTCAGAACCTAATTGAAAATATAATGGACGCTGCTGAGAGTTTCAGCCAATAATGGGAAAATGGCATCAGCCAATCATAGGCAGCCAACTCATCACACCATGCAAATAAGTCAGTTATAGAGGGAGCCAATCAGGTGCTCAGTCTACTAAGACTCTTGGTGCCTGCCCACCAAAAGCTTGCTGCCCCTACTGGGCAGATAGCCCCCAACCTCTTCTGCCAAATTCATGAATCCTTCTTTGTTCAAATAAATCGTTGAAGTTAATTTGTATAAAATATTTCTTTTCTAGTTGTTATAGGTTGTTAGGCAGTTTGTGTGTTGACACTCAAGTCTCCAGGGTGATTGGATCCAAAGGGTGGCTCTCTCAAGATGGGAGTAGCAGGGGCTTTCTCCAAAGAAACATAAGGCTGGAGAGACTGGCTCATTGAGCAATAAGGTAAAGGATGATAGAGGAAGACACAACACCAACCTCTGGTTTCTGTACGTAAACACACACACATGCACACGTGCGTATGCATATGCGCGGGGAGCGGGGAGGCAGGACTTTGCTTTCTCACTATTCTGTGAGGGTACAGGCAAAGGGTAACTAGGTGCCCACCAAGAGGAAACTTCTCCTCCGGGTCTTTAAAGACTTTGCTGTGTTGTCCCCCCCCCCCCCCCCCAGGCAATAGTATGTCCGAGCAGCTGTAACTGACCAGGACAAGGGTGCTTATTCCAGACCATGCTGAGTAGTATTTTGTTAGAATCTCACTTGTTGCAGAACTGTGAGCCAATGATGACGTGACATAGTCTGGTTTTCCAATTATTCTTTTAGAAAACTGTCTCAACTCTTTCAGCCTTAAGTCACCCTGCCCGGGCATGGTCAATTATCTGCCCTAGCCCCCAAGGTAGGTAAGCTTCCTATGCGGTATCTGTTAACTCTAGATCCTTGGAAAACACCAACAAAGCATAAACCTCTCAGCATTTGTCAAGTGGGGGCTTGTTTTGATTACTCATTCTACTTTCAAACAGATGAGATTATTTCAAAAGCAACCTTAATGCTCTATCATCATGGGAAAAATCTTAATTTCAAAGATCTTGAAGGGCCAAAGAAATGGCTCAGTGGGTAAAGTGGAGGACTGGAATTCGGATCACCAACACCCACATAAAAAGCTAGGCATGATAGCTCGCTCGAGCCTGTGACTGGGGTGGGGAAGGAATGGCAGATCTCAAGGGCTCACTATACAGCCTATCTAACCAGGTTTACTGAGAGACCCTATCTCATAAATACAGTAGAGAGCAACAGAGCAGAGAGCAACAGAGGAAGATAGATACCCATTGTCATTCTCTGACCTACACACACACACACACACACACACACACACACACACACACACACACACACGAGAGAGAGAGAGAGAGAGAGAGAGAGAGAGAGAGAGAGAGAGAGAGAGAGAGAGATTTCCTAGTCCCCTTGTGCTAATCTGTATCTACTGTAAAAACTACTTGTCTGAAACCGAACCAGAGGTGTGCACAGAGTAGTTGATCAGTAAATAGCCAGTGAATAAAACCACTTTGGAACTAATGTTATTCTTAACGAGAAAAAGCAACATGAAGCCGAAAACAAATGTGACTAAAGATAGGATTTCCTTCTACAGCCCACCACTGCCATTAAAATACGTACTAATCAAGAAAGAAAAAGCTGCTGCTTTTACACAATGCTGACATTTTTAGGGATTCAGTTGCTTATCGGGCATATGATATCAAGGAATGCGACATTCTGACGGTGCTAAAATGACGAGGCAGGGCTGGCGAGGCGGCGAGGTGGACAAACACACTCACCGTGCAAATCTAACCACCTGGGTTTGATCCCTGAACCCCTTAGTGGAAGGAGAGAAACAACTCCTAAGAGCTGTCTCCTGACCTCCGTACACACATGTGGCACACATGTGTCTACACTCAGGCATACCACATCCTGTGTATATCCATACGATATAGTCAAATAACGATAAAGTCAAAATTTTGAAGAATAAAGATTAAGTAACGTAAAATGAAATGGTGATACAGTTCTACATAGTTAAAAGTTTATTCCATTTTTTTTTAAGTGCATAGGTGCAGCACAATTATCCTCGACAGTGAAGGGGTCACCTGGCTTTGGAAGATATCCTGAGTTGTATTTCTGTGCAGACAACTCATACTAAGAATGATCTGCAGAAAAAGAAAAGGACATTAGGATATCAGCCAGGAAGCTGCAATTTCACCTGATTTACTAAAGTTTAATATTTCAGCACAGCTGGGCTCAAGGCAACTGCAAGAATCATCCTTACCCTGGGTTCCCTAAACACCCTCACTGCAAATTTTTATCATGCCAATGGTTACAGTCAGGGGACTCACAAAAGCCCATTTTAATTGGAAAACCAAGTGTGAATTTGCAATGGGAATTCAGAGCTGAGCCTTAAAATTTGACAGTGGGGAACTTGACCATAAGTTTTTCCATTTAAACCTTGATTGGTAAGATATGAATTATCTTGCTTATCCTTGAGAGACAAGAAAGTAGTGAAAACAAAAAGGTTTTAATATTATTTATCAGTTGAAAATTGATGCCAAAGAAGCTATGAACTTTCTACTTATAGGTTTGACCAGAGATCTCTGCCAGGTAAGATTTGGGATATGGTAAGACCATATCCAGATGTGAGCTCAAGCCTCCATGTTGAACTAGTGTGTGAGCAGACCGAACTCAGGAAATCTGCCTCTTGTGGGTGGACAGTAGAGTCCAGGCAGCACCTTCTGGAATTGCCTGGTTTCTTGTGTCCCAGAACAAGGAAGTAGACCAGGGACATGTGGATAGTGGCAGAAACAGTTCATTAAGAAAGGGAACATTCTGAGGACCAGAGAACAGGAAAGGCTGGAAGTTCAATGGCTCTGGGTGACAGAGTTGTGCTCTTTTATGGGTCTTTTGTACAGTGCCTGCCTTCTCCTGCATCTGTATACCTACTGTATTAATCAGGGTTCTCTAGAGTAACAGAACTTAATATACATATGAATATACATATATATATATATACATATATATGTATGTATGTATATATATATATATATGATAGTGGGTTTCCAGTCTTTTCATATAAATATAGATAGATATAGGTATAGATAGAGCTGTGGTCTGGCTAATTCAACAATGGCTAGCTATGAATAGAAAATCCAAGAATTCAAGAATGAGACTGGTGTCTCAGCTGGTCTTCAGTAGATGCTGGAAATCTGAAGAAGTAGGCTCTAATGACAGTGAGGGAATGGATTTGCTAGCAAGGCAAGAGCAAGCAGACAAAGAGCAAAAGCTTCCTTCTTTCATGCCCTTATACAGGCTTCCAGCAGAAGGTGTGGCCCAGATTAGCAGTGAATCTTCCCACCTCAAATGATCTGGATTAAAGGTGTGTCTTCTCAACTCAAGATATGGATTAAAGGAAGGTCTTCCTACCGCAAAGATACAGATTAGGAGTGGATTTTCCTACTTCAAATTAAGCAAAAAAAAAAAAAAAATTCTCATAGGTGTGCCCTCCATTTCTGGGCTTTAGTTCATTTCAGATGTCGTCAAATTGACAACTGAGAATAGCCATCACACCCAGAATGCATTCTGTGTCTCTTGGCCTTGGTAGTGGTAGTGGGTTTCCAGTCTTTTCTTCTGTCAGTGGCTTTTTTCACATGCTAATTGTGTTTGGAAGGGAAGTATTCACACATGTGCATGTGGGTGGAAGCCCTGCTCTATGACTCTGCCTTATTTCTTTGAGACAGGGTATCTCACTGCAATTTGAGCTAGTCTGTTGACCCACAGAAAAACTCCAGTGACCCTCCTGTCTCAGTTCCACACAGTGCTGGGGTTGCAGGTGCAGGCGTGGCCACACCCAGGTGTTTGCTCCAGTGCTAGGAGTCTGAACTCAGGTCCTCAAGCTTTCACAGCAACCACTGCTACCCACTGAGGTATCGCCCCATGTCTACTATGTCAATTTTGATCCCCTTTCTCTGTCTCATTATTCTGCCACATGGCCAACATTGGCTTCTTACACAGTCTTTACCATTCTTTATTTATTTCTCCCCCTGACTGCTCTCACTTCCAGAAAATGACTTTTAAAAGGGATAGTGGGGCATTTTTATATATTAAAAATTGTCTGAATAGTTGAAAATCTTCAGGAAACTTGAAGGTGTTTCTATTTGGGGCACATGGTTTTATATAATAGTAACAAGTAGTGTTCAGCAACAACAAAAAAAAGACAGGTCAAGAAAAACCAGAGATGTGTACAATTTCCATAGGCACAGATTTCAGGATTCATGAAGATGGACACTAAGTACCGAGTGTCTAAACAATGTGTGTGTGTGTGTGTGTGTGTGTGTGTGTGTGTGTGTGTGTTCAATAGAAGATAGATGATAGATAGAGAGATAGATAGATAGATAGATAGATAGATAGATAGATAGATAGATAGATGCAAAACTGTACCTATCTACATCTGTCTAGACAACAGATAGATGGAGAGATCGCCATGGAAATATGAACAGGAGTCATCA